CTCTCTCAAGCTTGTCGAAACTGCTGACCATTGGAAACGACGGTGTGTTCATCGTTCACCTCGGCCGCCAGCTTCTCTCTCTCTCTCTCTCTCTCTCTCTCTCTCTCTCTCTCTCTCTCTCTCTCTCTCTCTCTCTCTCTCTCTGTGTGTGTGTGTGTGTGTGTCTCTCTTTCTCTCTCCAATAAAAAACGGCAATCCTAGGTCAGCAGATATCGTAGAGTACCCTACGTCGATAAGCGACAAACCGTACAAGACGATCGATAAACCAGAACATGGGGGGCAAAAACGAAGACAGGAAATTTCGTGCTCGTTTGCATCTCACATACTAGTCTTCTCCTGCACTCGCCGAGTCGCCGTAAGTGCCTCGTTCCACCGATCGCCAACCGCGAAAATTCGAAGTGTATCTTCTTCATTGCAGTAGAACGTGGCCAGATACATTCTCCATTTCCACCTTCCGTGGATCGTGGCTGACTGTCTGAACTCTGAACTCGCCGTACGAATAACAACTCCCCAATCCCTTTCCCTGAAAAGGTGGACAGTACCCACCCATCAAAAACTCCAACGAATTCACTGCATTTTATTACAGTCATCATACATACATAGCTCGACTAAAACCGCCAAAAAGAAAACAGCTTGTCTTCCCACACCGCATGTTCCTCCTGAACACGAACCGTGACGAACGTACAACTTAACACTCTTATACAACGAAACTGTACAACATCTGTACCCTTTTACCCCTTCCCCCCCCCTCTTACTGGAGTCACCACCCCAGGTACCGTATTATTATTAACCCTACCTACACTTCCCGAATAACCTTCCTCTACTCCACCACCCTTTCTCCATCCTCCCTTTCTCCATCCACCCCTTCCCCTCCCGCCCCCTCCCCCCCCCATTTCTCTCTCTTTGTGTGGCACGCGCGCACGCGCACACAACACAGTGAACACACACACACACGCACACACACACACACATACACACACACACACACACACACACACGCACGCACGCACTCTGACATGCCGACCACAAGGTGGGCCGTTTTGTTTTTCTCAATCACAGACTGTACACAAACCGATTCAGATCATTAAGTCACTTCTTGCCATGTTCTTGGGAATCAGATGAGTCAACTGTGACACGTGTCGATCAAGAAGACGCTACAAGGCTTGTGCAATCCAGGTATTCGGTAGAGGCCTACCATGATTGGTGTCGTCGCAGGCAGAAGACTCAAGGTGATGATGCTGACTGGAGTAGGACGGAGCTCGATGTTCTCTCTGCTAAGCTGCAGCATCAGCAGAATACGGACATGGAACCTTCGAGGAAACTTCACTGACCTGAGTCATCACAGATGTGGTGGGAACGCCAGCAGCAGTCATCATGAAAACCGCCCTCGGATCGCTCCCATTCCCACCTTCCCTACTCCTACTCCTATTGAGCCCCCCTCTTATGCTCTCTATCACAGCCAGATCGGCCAGCTGCGTTGGGGACAAAGGGGGAAATACCCTTTTGTCGTTTCGTCCGATCCCAAGGAAATCTCTCGTCACCGCTCCAAGCTGAGCCTTGTCCGAACTCGTTGACAACAACACTGCCCCTCCTCCTCCCCCTTCCACTCCTCCTCCTCCTCCTCTTCCCTCTCGAGCCACCCCACCTCGAAGAAGCACGATATTGTTATCGCCTGGGAATGCATCTTGATCGCTCCGCTGCAGCGAAGCCGGGGAGCGATTCGTTGCTGTGATTGCTATCTTGCTAATATCAGTGGCAGGTGCAGCACCAGTCAAAGCAGACGACATTGTGCCACTTGCTGCCGAAGAAGGCAACAGAGAGGAAGGGATGATGCTTACCTGTCCCCCTGCTGCTGCTGCCGCTGCTGCGGTAGGGGTAAAGCCGGAAGTGGGACGTGATTCTGAGGCTAGGTCCTCGTGATGAGGAGGAAGGCTGCCGCTGGTCCTTTCAAGCTGAGTTTCTCTGCTTTGCATTATCCCGTCACCGGCCTCTTGCATGCTCACATGCGGGCGGGGAATAACCGCGACAGTTTGGTCGGTATCGCGACCACCGCAGCTGTTCTTCCCCACACACCGGCAATCGTTTTCGTCACCAAGCCGTCCGGATATCTCTTCAATATTATTATGGATTTGTTGATCGAGATGAGCTGCTGCTGTCTCCCCATCTCTTCCCCCTCCTCCTCCTCCTCCCCTTCCTCCTCCACCTCCTCCCATTCCACCCACCCTCCCTCTGCTCCTTGACTCAATGACTGGCCCAGAGTCGAGATGCTCCTGCGCAGCTGCGATTGCCCGTTCCCGGGATCCCGAACTTCCCCCTCGTTGCGGCGAGCCCCCAGCCACGTCAAGCCAAATCCCGATCCCGGCACAGCCAGTTGATGATGGGAGAGTCCCGCAGATTCTTCACCTCTTCCTCGCCCAAGAACCCCACAACATCTTGCGCGGAGAAGGGCGTCCGTCCGCGAAGATGCGTCCGCCCCCCCCTCCGCCTCGGCGGAGCCTCCAGAGGAATCCCCCCCCCCTCCCTCGCCCCCTTCCCCCTCTCCTTCTCCTTCCACTTCCGTTGCCGCCGTCATCGTTTCCCGCACTGCCAGACACGGTGACCTGCTGTCATCCTCGTGATCGCTGTTGTTGTCTCCCTCATGGTGGCGCGCACCACCCTGGCCCTCAGCAGCAAATGATGCGCCGCCGCACTCCCCACTCCCTTCCTCCGCCTCCCCTCCTTTAGCTCTTCCCTGCTGCCGATGATGAGCCCGGGGCTGCTGCTGCTGACCTCGTTCCTGCTGCCGATGGCGTTCGGAGTAATGACCCATCGTTGCCAGCGGCGTCCACGGCATCCTCCCAATCCCACCTCCTCCATCAGAAACTCCAAGTGACGAACAACTCCTCGGTTCACCAGAGTGCAGCAACATCGAGCTCCCGGGTCCTCCATTCAATGCATCCGACCCTCCTGCCGTCTCGCAATGACGGCCTGGATACTACCGACTAGCTGCAGCTTCTACCTCCGTGTAATTCCGATAAGCCGCACTCGAATGATGAGCGCCGGGAACAGGACTCAGCTTGCCAGACGGGGTGGGAGGAGATTCGAAGGCTCCTCCTATCCCACGATTGACGTGATGATGATAAACGTCGTGCCGACGCAGCACTTCGTTCCCCACCCCTCTCATCATCATCATGTCGGAGTTGTGTTGATCGGACGACATCCGGGACGACAGTGGCAATCTCTCTACTTCCCCTCCCTTCATGACTATCTGTCCTGCATGTCCTCCACCACTTCCTCCTCCTCCTCCTCCTCCTCCTCCTCCTCCTTCTTCTCCTGCTGCTGCTACTGATCCCGACCTTGTTCCAACTCTATCGCTACAAGATGGTCCTGCTGCAGTACCCGCGCCACCCCCGTTTGTCAAGAGACTCTTGACTGGGATCTGCCCGGCAGTTCCCGAAGCGAACAAGCTGGCAAACACACTACCAGCAGCTTGGCGCGGAGCAGGAGGTATCTGAGAGTAAT